TCTTTATCTTAACAATATTTTGAATAAATAAATCTATTTGATATCCTATATTTCTAGGTTAACATTTTGAAAAAAATATTAAGAGGCTATTACTAAAAAATTACTTTTATTTAAGGTAATAAATATAAATTCAAATCCTATAATTAAATTAGACTAATAAAAAACAGATTTTCATATTTTATTGATACTAATTAATAACATTAAAATTAAAGTAAAATATCATCGAAAAACAAATTAAATTTATACACTTATTCAAATATAAAAGCCTTTTCAAAAAATTACTCTTTTTTTTCAGAATAAAAAATTGCTTTTAAATAATTAGAAAAAATGCAAGAAATATGAAATTGGAAGTGCACTTTAAAAAGAAAAATGTTACGTTTCAAGAATATTTAATTTAAATGCATACCCTAAGTATTTTTCAATAAAATCCAAATGGAATTTTAAGAAACTGCTTTCATTTAAATTAAGTAAAATATTTGCCGAAGAGTAACAAAAATTAAATTATCACACTGAATATTGAAGCAGGAAAAACTCCTAATAGCACTTTCTGTTTCAATTATTAAATTTTATTTTATTTTGGAAGAAAACTGAAATAATTTATTACTAATTCATGCTTTAATAAAAAAGAGTTAAAAAGGCAATTTTAAATTCTTTGATCTTATTTCCTTTTTTCCCATCAAAATTAATATATATCAAATACTTTGAAATAATCAAAGTTGCTAATGTTCCAACTTGATTAAATTTCAGTATTGGAAATCTAGGGAATTAGTTTCAGAAGGATGTTTCTAAAATGCTTTTTAACGTAACGTATTTTACTGAGATAAAAAATTTGATTTATCAAAATTACCTGCATAGTGGTAACATATTTTTAATATGTAAAACTATATATGTTTGTATATGTGTCATTAAAAAAATTAAGAATTAATTAAATTTAAAATGATGGCCTCTGGCCTTTTTTTTTCTATTTTATTATAAATAAATTAATTGCTTAACATTCTGTGCTGAAAATGAGGAAAACCAGAGAATGGTAGAATGACGATAATAAAGCATGATATCTGAGTAGAAAGCGCCTCAATAAATTTAAAGTTGTTATATAATCAAAATTTCTTTGAACCTTATTGAGAAGAACTATCCGTTGTAACTTCTCGGCCTATACTAGACCTATAACGACTTCAAGAAGAAGTAACCATTCAGGTTCATAGAAACCGTTAATTATTATTTACAAACATTATACATATGTAAATAAATATATTATGTACAAAATTCTACATTAACACAAATTATAATTTATAAAACAAATTCAATTTAAAGATTTAAATTTGATGTACAAATGCAATTCACTCCAAGGACGGAGATTATAATTATCAATATAAAATGAATAAAAAACCTTCTAATATTGAACATGATATATAAAATTCAGAATCCAAACATAATGTATCGTAAAATAATTGTATGTATAGTTGCATAAATGTTACACATTTATACAATTTTATATTTAATATCAGTATATTCATTTAATTTGTAAAGTGATGTCAACTTTAATCACTTCAAATCAAAGCAATTATGTACACAATTACTTATATACTCAAACAGAAACACATGTTAACAAAGCAATCAATTCATCTTTAACATTACAAATTGATGACACATTCCCATTATAAAGCCGTCTTAAATCCTAGACAGACACCAGGCGGAACAGTTTATTAGCGAGCCCTTCCCTACGGACTCTATAACACGACTTAATCAAAACCTATGAAGTTGATTCAGCGGGGCACCTGCGCGCACTAATGACAATACCAAAATAACACAGTTACCAGACAAGGCATCTTCGGTGTTGCCCTGGATGTGGAATGGCATTCACTTGAAATGCGTTTTCGATTCCCTGGCTATAAGTAATTACGGCAGCCATTCCTGAAGACATCCGTGACGTTTGCGTTACCCGATAGCCGCTGGGGATGAATGCTGTGATTTCAAACATTTATTCAGGACCGCAGAATGTAATAACGCGAACCTGCGTTGAGATGTCGGGCGGGGAAATGTTTATTTACGCTGAAGACATGGGAAGATTGTGATCTCCTAAGTTACTCCTATTATCATGTAGTGATTAGATACTTTGATGCAATACAAATAGGTTATTAAATTTCTTAAAGTATTTTTATACCGTGTTTATAGTTCAAAACACACCAAGCCTTTTTGTAATTTAAATGTCTCTAATAATACTTCTAAATTGGAATTACCTAAAACCTGATCATGCATGTAAATAAGAGATACTTATGAAGGCCTCATGTTACTTATTGTAAATTGGTAGCGGCCACACACAAAAAAAATTCTCCGACTTGAAAATATCCGAACTATTTATAATTACTAAAACAAGAAAGACATAATGTTATTATACAATCATTATTATGCATATATCTATAAATGGAGCCAGAAATAGATTTTAAATGTTTTTTGATAAATTTAGTACTGAAATTTTAACCCTATCCCTTACTACGAGTATTTGTATTAAACTAAGTATAATGTATATATTATTTGTATAAATTATGCTTATCTTCTCTCATTTTTCTGAGTGTTATTTTGTTACTACACTTGCTCAATTTAGCAAGTAATGGTTTTTTATTTAGTTAGAATCAGTTTCAGTTTTTTCAGTTAATCGTAAGATTTCTGTTTAAAAGTAGGATATTGATTCCTACTGTTAAGAATGTTGGTGAATTTTGTTAACAAAAGTTTTTAATGGAACTATTTGTGTAGAATTATTTTAATTATTGATATGTCTCATGCACCCGAAATGTATAATTTTAAAAATTTTGAAGCATGAATTACTTTGAAAACCAGTAAATAATTTTTATGCTTGTATAAATATTTAACTTTATATGATTATTATTATTTCAAAATTTAGTTTTCTTTCCTGACGTTATGTTTTATATTATGTTGAAAATATAATTTTTAAGATCATTGTGTATCCATTTAAGTGCATTTAATTAATTTCTCATCAACGAAAGAAAAATAAAGTTTTATTTTTATATCAAATTAACTACTGCATTAGTCAACGGTTCTGTAGTACATGCCGGTTGGCTAATATAGTAGGTAACAGCCTGTAGTATAATAGTAAATCTGTTCATTTTGATGTAACGTCTTTTGCTTAAGTATTTTTTTTTATTAAATACCAACTTACGAAGAAGGAAGGTTATTTGTATGCTTAAATTCTTCGTTAGTGTCCAATTAAATCACTTCTTATTTATATGATTTAACTAAATTAAGTTATTTTAGTTAATTACTTAATTTAACTAACAGAAACCAAAACTTTCTCAATATCACTCACTTACAGTACTCAACCTATTAAATAAGCTAGAAAAAAATGAATAATCAAAATATAATTCATAGTTTTTAAATAAATGATACATTTACAAATACATTTTCTTCCAAGTGATATGCATAATTTAGGTTTATTATTTTATAAGTAGCTTATTTAAAACATTAAAAAATGATATGGAAAACACTTGTTTTGAAAATATAATTAAGAATATAAAATGAATAATATGTTAGTAAACAATTTCTTAGGTTTTTCGAATAATTGTTTATATATATATATATATATATATATATATATGTATGTATATTCTGTTCAGTTTCTAATTTATAAACATGATTAATGCATAGCTTGAAAAACATTGAACATGATATATAATATTCGGAATCATCGCATAACGTATCTTATAATCAGAACATTATTTCATTATTTTGAATTGCAGAAATGTTACACACTTATACAATTTTATTATTCTGTGACTTCATCTACCAACTTTCAATTTACATAAAACTTATCCATCAATTATCACGAAACATAGAATAACCATTTAATTTGCAAAGAGATGTTCACTCTAATCACTTCAATCAAAACTTATGCACTCAATAACTTAGTTACTCAAACAGAAACACATGTTAACAAAACAATCAATCCATCTTCAACATTACAAATTGATGACACATTCCTATTATAAAGCCATCTTAAATCCTAGACAGACACCAGACGGAACAGTTTATTAGCGAGCCATTCCCTACGGACTCTTTAACACGAATTAATCAAAACCTATGAAGTTGATTCACGGGGGCACCTGCGCGCACTAATGACAATACCAAAATAACACGGTTACCAAACTGGTCAGCTTCGATGTTGCCCTGGATGTGGAATGGCATTCACGTGAAATGCGTTTTCGATTCCCTACTATAAGTAATTACGACGGCCATTCCTGAAGACATCCATGACGTTTGCGTTGCCCGATGGCCGCTGGGGATGAGTGCACTGATTTCAAACATTTATTCAGGACCGCAGGATGTAATAACGCGAGATTTCGTGCCGGGAATAGTCGAGATCGCTGTTTGTTTACGCTGAAGACATGGGAAGATTGTGATCTCCTATGTTGCTCATATTCTAATGTAGTGATTAGATACTTTGATGCAATTTAAGTTGGTTATTAAATTTGTTAAAGTATTTTTATACAGTGTTTATAATATAAAACATAGCAAGACTTTTTGTAATTTAAATGTCTCTACTAATACTTCTAAATTGGAATCACCTAAAACAGGGTCATGCATGTAAATAAGGGATACTTTGAAGAGCAAGCCTCATGTAACTTGGTACACACACAAAAAAATCTTCGACATGAAAATTATTTAACATACACACAATTATATATATATATATACAATGTGTTAATTTTAATGTAGAACATCATTGGCAATTTCTGCATTTAATCTGACAGTTATGACAACGATTCTGTCTTCTCGCCTGACATAAGAAAAATACATTAAATATTTTTTCTAATATATGTTTACATTTTACTGAAATAATGATTGATCATAATTCTATTTTAATCTTCCATGAAATCAAATCTTGCAGAAGAGTTTTCAGTTATATTTTTAACTTTAAACAATAATTGTTATGCTGATTAGATTAAAAATTGTCATATTATTTTGTAAATTATATCCTATTATATGCCAACGGCCGTACCATGCTGAATATACCGGTTCTCGTTAGATCACCGAAGTTTTACGCGGTCAGTACTTGGGTGGGTGACCACCTGGGAAATATAAAAAGTTGGCAAATTTGGGACTTGAATGGCCGAGTGTCTAGCGCTCTGGCGCTCGGTTACAGGTTTCGGGTTCGAACAATTTGCCATGGATGTTTGTAGTGGTTCGGAATCCACTTTAAGCCGTAGGTCCCGGTCTTCTATGACTGTAAGAGCGTCACGGAGCAAAGTCAGGCTTCTACCTACTTGTGCTCCATCGATTTAAATTATCTTTCCCCTTCAATCATGAGTCCATATGGGCTCGTGGGCTTGGCCAGCCAAGTGGGATAAGAAACAACAACAACAACATATCCTATTATATTTTTACATTATGTATATAAACATTGTTAATTAATTTATTTATTTTTTACTTTTCTTTTCACTAATGCTTGCATTAATTTAGTATACTATTTTTTTTCTATATTAAAATTTAATGTACTCCTGTAATTTTGTAATTGAAAGGCTTTATTGTTTTATTATTTTTTTTAATTATTTTTATCACATTAGCGATTTTAACGTAAAGGGCTAAGAGACCTTTGTATGCGGATAATGTATGGGGTAAAATTAAAGTAATGAAAAGCCAAAAGTAAAGTATAGGAAAACCTGTTCGTTACTAAAACCAACATAAATCGTATAATTATTTCAAATCTTATACTTCAGTTTGAATCATTAGACGATGAATCATTGAGATTTGAATCAAGAGACAATTGAGTCATTAAGGTTTGGATCATTAGAGGATTGAATTATTAAAGTTGAATCATTAGAAGACTTTTGCTTGTAAATAAGTAGTAGGCAAGGATAGCATTAATTGCTATAAAATTAACAGAAATACACATTTTTTCTAAATTTTAATAATTATTAATAATATTTATTTCAAGAAATATCTTCCATCCTTTTCTCATAAATATACAAACAAAACAACCTTTACTTTTCCAGCGGATTCATCAATATCTAGAAATTTAGCAAAAACATTTCGGTAGCAATCTCTACTTTCCTTTGTGTTTTCTTCTCCATAACTCTTCGAATAAAAAATGCACAGGCAAAAAAAAAAAAAAAAAAAAAAAAAGTCTTTAAACAAAACACAACTTAGATCTTATTCGCGATACTTAAAAAAGCGGTACAGAGAGCTTTCTGCAGGAATAAAAATTTGTTAAAAACAAATAAATAACAACATCGCAGCTCACCGAAATCGAGAAAAACAAAGCGTTGAAAACACACTATCCTATGGAAAAAAAAGATTGAAACACTCAGAAATTCTCAAATACCTAGTACGCACTTTGAATCCACGTCATAAACTGAACAGACACAGTGCGAAATAAATAAAAAACATTATAAATAAAAAAAAGGCATATACGCTGCTTTTGCATCAACTACAAATAATGGAAATCAATAAATTCGTCGCACCTATAAAGGACCGGCGAGTAGCTTCAACGAGAATATTCACATTGGCATTCCGAAACAGAAACAAAAACAATAACGTTTCTACAAGCTTGACACGTTCCAGATTTTTCCCAACAAAATAGTACTCCCACACTGTCAACAGTTCTGTTATCTAACAGGAAACTATTTTCAACAAAACAAAAGGAAGAAAAAAACTAATAGACTTTCAACTCTTTTCTTCCAAAATAAGAAAGAGACAAACACACAAGTGTAAGCTGATATAAAATGCACATTTGTTGCATTGATAAAAAAAAAGTTAGTTTGCGACTGAAATCTAAATGTATCAAGAGGAAACAGCGATTGCAGATACTGTGGTCAGGACTGTATTTGCATTGAGTAAAGGTTTTTTCAGCAACTGATACATAATTAATAAACTTCGGTATACATTTATTTTTGTCTATAAAATTAAAGCTTATGAAACAGAATCTATTTGTACAAAAGCTTAAAAAGACACGGAATAATTACCATTTATAATTACTAAAACAAGCAAGACATAATATTATTAATGCAATCATTATTATGCATATATATATATAAATGAAACCAGAAATGTATTTTAAATTCTATTTAAGTAAATTTAATACTGAAATTTTAATTTTATCCGTTACTACGCAGATTTGTATTAAGCTAAGTATAATGTAAAATGTATTTATATTAAACTAAGCATAACTTATAATGTATTTATATTAAGCTAAGTATAATGCATAATGTACTTGTATTTAGCTAAATGTAATGTATAATATAGTTTTATTAAGCTAAGTATAATGTAGTACTTGTATTAAACTAAGTGTAATGTATAATCTATTGTATTAGCCAAACTAACAAATTTTAAAGTCTTCATGCATTACTGTTTATCTAACATTGCTATTATTTTTTTTAAACAATTACAAAAATAAATGATTAATATTTATTAAATTATAATTTGTAGATGGAATTTTGTATTGAGTTTGATATTTTGCAAAAAAAGAGAAAAAAAAATAAATTTTAGTCATCTAAATTATGTTCAATATTATGTAAGGGAATGTTGTGTATTCTATATTTTGTATGTATGTTCTATATTATGTAAGGGAAATTATATTTATGTATGTTCTATATTATGTAACGGAATGTTAAAATACCAACTAGATGGTAGCATATTTAATAGTTTATCTGCCACAGTTTGTGAGAGATTTAGTGAAGCTTCTTTTTATTGAAATAATCATTAGAAAGCTTTTATTTACATTTAGTGATATTATGCATTAGTCTAAATATACTAATTATATCTGCTTATACTAATTATATATGCTCGATATTTTTTTTTAATTAGTATAATAAGAAACATCTGGTTATAAAAAGAATCACTATATATGTATTTATATATTTATGTAATTAAAGAAAAAATAAACTACATAAAATAAATAAACATAAATATAAACTTTTAGAATATGTTTAGAATATACACTGAAGTGACAAAAGTCATGGGATACCTCTTAATATCGTGTCGGCCCTCCTTTCGCCCGGCGAAGTGCAGCAACTCGACGTGGCATGGACTCAACAAGTCGTTGGAAGTCTTCTGCAGGAATATTGAGCCATGCTGTCTCGACAGACGTCCATAATTGTGAAAGCGTTGATGGTGCAGGATTTTGGGCACGAACAGACCTCTCGATGATGTCCCATAAATGCTCGATGGGATTCATGTCAGGCGATCTAGGTGCCCAGATCATTCGTTGGAATTGTCCAGAATGTTCTTCAAACCAATCGCGAACAGTTGTGGCCCGATGACATGGCGCATTGCCATCCATAAAAATCCCATCGTTGTTTGGGTACATGAAGTCCATGAATGGCTGCAAGTGATCTCCAAGTAGCTGAACATAAGCATTTTCAGTCAATGTTCGGTCCAGTAGCACCAGAGGACCAAGTCCATGCCATGAAAAAACAGCCCACACCATTACGGAGCCACCACCAGCTTGAACAGTGCCTTGCTGACAGTTTGAGTCCATGGCTTCGTGGGGTCTGCGCCACACTCGAACCCTACCATCAGCTCTTACCAACTGAAATCGTGACTCATCGGACCAGGCCACGGATATCCATTCATCTAGGGACCAACCGATATGCTCACGTGCCCACGAGAGTCACTGCAAGCGATATCGTTCTGTCAGTAAAGGCACTCGAGTCGGTCTTCTGCTGAAATAGCCCAAGAAAGCCAAATTTCTCCGCACAGTTCTAACAGACAAGTCCCTTGTACGTCCCACATTGATTTCTGCGGTTATTTGACGCAGTGTTGCTTGTCTGTTAGAATTTACGACTCTTTGCAGACGTCGCCGGTCTCGGTCGTTAAGTGCAGGCGGTCGACCACCGTGCTGTCCATGGTGGGATGTTATGCCTGAAATTTCATACTCTCTGCACACTCTTGACACAGTGGATCTGGGAATGTTGAATTCCCTAACGATTTCCCAAATGGCATGACCCATGCGTCTAGCTCCAACTAACATTCCGCGTTCAAAGTCTGTTAATTCCCGTCGTGCGGTCATCATCACTTCAAAACCTCTTCACATGAATAACTTGAACAGAAATGAAAGCTCTGCGAAAGCACTGCGCATTTATACCTGTTCTACGCGATGCTACTGCCATCTGAAAATTTGCATATTGCTATCCCATGACTTTTGTCACTTCAGTGTATAATTATATAATTTTAGAATATATAATGAAACAGCAATATAACTTTAAAATTAATGCTTGGTAATATGATTATGATAATGAAGAAAATTTTTTTGGAAAATTTCTGTATGTATTTCTCATTGAGGCTAAAAAAATTAACAAAAAATTTTTTTTCGTGACTATAATTTTTGAGACAACTTTTAAAAAATTTAAAACTGAAACATATTGTAATCTAATTATATCTAACATATTGTAATAAAATTATAATATGTAATGATAATGAAATTACAATAACGATTATAGTAATGAGATTACAATAATAATATAATAACTAACAGTAATAAAATTAATATCTAACATTGTAATTTAATTGCTGTTATTTTCTAATTATTCATTACATGTATAATCAAAATAAGGGTTATTAAAAACTGCATTGAAAAAAAAATTTAGAAGAGTCTGCAGTACATCAAATAAAAAATTTTTGTCTGAATATTTCAATTTTTTATATTCTTTCAAATTGAAAAAGTTAAAAAGGGGTTATATTAAAAATCTAATGAGTAATAAAAATAAAATTTCATTAATTAGTTTTGTTAGGAAATTCAAATTGAAAGAAATAAAATAAGAATATAAAATACATTGAAACAGTGAATTGCATTTTTGTGAATTAACTGTAGCTCTTATGCATGCTTTAAGAAGAAAGTTCTAAAATGCATTCGCAAATATAAATTAATTTTTTATGATGATAATATAATTAGTGTAGTAAATTTTTGTTTTTTAATCAGAAAAAAATTAGTTTTTAGGTGTGAAATTTTTTTAAAAAATTTATACGTTTCATGCATTACAAATATATAAATAGCTAAGAATTTTAAACGTAATTACGCAGCAAATTCTCATATTTTTTTTTTTTTTTTAATTTCCCATTTTTAATTTCCCAAAATAAATATTTA